AAGGCTCAGGACAGTCTTATCTAATTAGTCATAAATATAGAATAATAATGTTTTCTTCATAAACGTTTAGTTGTAGCATTCATCTAAATCCCTAAATCAGTCCCTAAGGTATCACATAAATGCAATGGAGTAAAAATTTGCAATGTTCACCACAACGGAAACACTGGATCAAAATGAAAGTACTTCCAATTTGTACTAAAGTCCAGTAAATATACTTAGTTTTCACCACTGGAGTGAGGATGACAGTATTTTTTTTTTAAAGTTGTTGTCTGCTTTACTACAGTGATGTTGTTGTTGTTTTTACAACAACAACAACAACAACAACAACAACAAAAAACAAAACATCAAGTTCATCACTGTGCTCATGTACAAATCGATGGCATTTGAGAATTTTGCATTACATGGTATTTCTAGCGTAATTCTAACCTTCATTTTCCACCATTTACTAACTATTATCTCGTCACTAATCCATTATCCTACAAAGAACGCCATTCCAAGGATTTTACAAAGTAACAAAACCTTTGTAATTTATATAAATCATTTACGGTGTTGGAAAGTACCTTTCTTCAAATACAGTACTGAAGAACAACGTGGACGTACTTGTATTTGAATCTTTTCATTTTATGTTACTTTATACTTCCACTCCACTACATTTCATTGAGAAATACTTTCTACTTGACTACATTTGTCTGGTAGCTTTACACACTTTAAAGATGAACATTTCATACAATGGATAAAATAGCAAGTGTTTAAAATACAACAAATTGTTAAATATTAAACCAGTGTTTTGCAAACCTTTTGGCTTCTGATGTCTTAACAAAAACAGTACATATTCGGGGTAATGTTTCAGGAGTCTACAAATTGATAACAGCTCCACCAAATACTTTCCCTCATGTTTAACTAGTCCTTTTTTTGGGCCTTTCATTCTCAGAGAGAAATGAGTTTCCCTCTCACATAAATGTTCAGATGAACCAATATCTCACCAAAACCAAAGATTGACAGACAAAGCTGAAAAACTGAAAACACATTTGCATGTAGGAACTCCCTTTTTTTCTTCTTAATTCTCCTATTAATCATCTCATAACCCTCAGTTTTGTCTGTGACAAAAGTTCAACTATCTCCACATCAGTAACCTGCTGCTTTACTGTCGGGTCCTTCCATATGAAATCAACCAGTTTCTGAGGATTTTCCCAGGTCACTTGCTCAGATTCCTCTGAAAAAAAAAATCACAGTTGCTCCTATGTCAAAATTATGGACAAACATTTTGGCAAACTAGCCTCTCAGATCATCTTCTGACATTAATAACTCATAAAGGATGCCATATGGAGCTTTGAAACGGTTCATCCTGGGCCAACTTTTCCTATAGAATGTAAAATGTAATCCGATCTGTTGTGTTGTCTTAATTTGTCTTCCTAAAGGCTCTAAAATGCCCAAAAATTGGGTTGTTAAAAAAAGACATCCTCTGTTTTGGTCCCTCGTTTGAAAAGCATAATAGATAAAGCACTCGGCATTGTTTCCTCTCATTTATGAGGCGTTAGACCATGTTTATGCAGTAACCATGAACATTAGTACAATAGGAGTTTAAGAATAGATTTTCAAAATGTGGTTGATTTTCAAATTTCATGAATTTTGATCATTTTCATGCCCTGATTTGACCATGTGGGCGGTTCACCATCATTTTCATATTTCTACCATGTGTTCTTATAGATCTGAAGATGATCTGACCCAAATATGGTTTTGTTGTTGAGCCCCCTTTAAGAGTTATGATTTTTTTTTTTGCGTATATCTAGTGTACACTGAAGATGATAACAGTGCCGCAGATATAGTTAAACAGAATACTGCAAGATAAAGAAGGTTCATTATAAACTGAAAACATTGATTATCTGTAGTTTGAATATTACAATAGTTTTATAGGAAAGCTTTTGCAGATATCAGATCATGTAATCAGATGAAATCAATAGGTTTCAGTCAGGAATTTTTCAAACAAGTCTTAAAAGTTGAAGTCCAACGTCAGCGTCTACCAGGAGATTTTAGAACACTTCATGCCTCCATCTGCTGGCAAGTCTTATGGATATGCTGATTTTCTATTTTCTAAATAAACAAAACAAAACGGATTTCTACATGTATCTGTTTCTCTGGATAAATGTGACATAGAACTACATTATGTTCTACTTGCTGTTGATGCTGTGCAAACGCTGATGGTTCCGGTTTAAAAGAAGTACAGCTCTGAAGGTAATTATTCTAAACGATAAGGATTCATGTGATGGAATCATATTGTTGTCGTTTCAAACGGCTCAAGATAATAGAAATGTATTGATGTCGTTTGTTAACACTGGAAGCTGCTGCTTGGTTTAACTACAACTACTTCCAGCACATACTGAGGTTTTACTGTTGATTCTTCTGCAACTGTGTGTCATATAATGTTTGGTTGACTTCATACGTCAAAGAAAGCATGGCGGTACCTTTGTTTTAAAAAAAAAGGCATAACTCTTAAAGGAGGCTCAGCAACAAAACCATATTTGGGTCAGATCATCTTCAGATCTACAGGAACACATGGTAAAAATATGAAAATGATGCTGAACTCAATGGTCAAATCAGGGCATGAAAATGGAAGAATTTCATGAAATTTGAAAATCAAGCACATTTCAAAAAATGTATTCTTAAGCTCCCATCGTACTAATGTTCATGGTTACTGCATAAACATGGTCTAACACCTCATAAATGAGAGGAAAACAATTCTGAGTGCTTTATCTATCATGCTTTTTAAATGAGGAATTGTAACAGAGGGTGTCTTTTTTTAACAATCGAATTTTGGGGCATTTTTAGAGCCTTGTAGGAAGACAAATAAAGACAATACACCAGATCTGATTACATTCTACAGGAAAAGTTAGTCTAAGCCGAACAGTTTCAAAGCTCCATATGGCATCCTGTGTGAGTTATTAATATCGGAAGATGGTCTGAGAGGCCCGTTTGCCAGAACTCATAAAATTAACAAAAAATTCAAAGGGTTGTAATTTCAAAACCAGCAGAGATGAAGACCTAATGTTTGGGATTTCTCCATAATTCTGGCATCAGAGTACCTGTGATTTTTTTTTTTTCCGGAGGAATCTGACTTGGGAAAATCTGGTTGATTTGATATGGAATGACCCTGTTAATAATCTAATGATGTCATATATTATGATATATCAGTCAGAAGGACCAAACTTTTACTTACTTTAATACTTGGCTGCTAATACTTAAACAGGAGTTTTACTTAAGCAGGACCTTTATCTTGTAATGTATTATTTTTTACATTGCTGCACTGGTACTTTCACTGATGTAAAGGATTCAAATATTTCTTCCACCACTGAATGTATTCATACCCTCCCATTAAAGAAGGAAAAAAATCATCTGTCACTGAATTAAGATGAAATTGACAAAAGTAATAATAAATAAAAATGTAATGAAAATCATGACATTGCTTTTGAATTGTGGTTCAACAGAAACATAAAACAACAACAACAACAACAACAACAAGCATGATGGGACCTATAAACTAATATTTTGCTGAACAACCCTTTGAGACAATCACTGCAATCAAGTGTTTTCTGTAACTCTCAATCAGACTTCTGCACCTGTTGACAGGTATTTTGATTTTGGCCCACTGCTCATCAGCAAAGTGCTCTAATTTGCCTGGGACTGGTTTTTTTTGTTTGTTTGTTTGTTTTTTTAAAATTATTCTTTTCAACCACAATTCAAATGCAATGCTTATTTCACTAAATTATAATTTAGCAAATTTTTTTATTTATTATTACTTTTTTCAGTTTCTGGTTATTTGAGTGACTATTGAGAATTTTGCCTTTTCTTTAATAAAAGGGTATGAATACGCTGCTGGGACGACTGTACATTATTACTATGTTGCTTCCACATTTATTCATCCATCACAGTCGTAATTCAACACTAGAGCCTGATAATGCCACTTACAGGGTCCACTGTTCTGTCATATTATTATTTGTATAAAAACAGATATAACAGACCACGATAATAGAATAAATATCTATGCACAGTAACAATAGAAAGTCAAAATAAGGTCTCAAACACAAACAGCTGACCATAACATGTCCAGTGCAGTTATAGGACAGGCCTGACACACTAACAATAAAGATAAGGAAGTTCTCCTGGAGAAAAATCACACTGTTTTGGAGATGTGTTTTGACCGGGAGGGTTAAAAATCATGTTAAATATGGGCCATTTGGCGACATCTAGCGGTCATTTATGATACAGCATTTAAAGGACATTTGCCAAATTGTGTTAAGAAACACTGACTCAGGGAGCAGCCATTTAAACAAAGAGACTGTGCAATAATGGACTTTCCTTTTTCTTAAAAAAAGAAAAAAGAAAAAAAAGAAAGAAATAAAAGACAGTATGAAGCCACTGTTGTCACCTGAATAATCTAAAAATAAAAATAAAAAGGCACAAAAAACACTCTAGATTAAATCTGTGGTTGCTAATAATCTGTGAAAATCTGTAAAACATGTAGGAAATATTGTTCTTTCTCTAATTTTTACATTCAGAAGTAAATGTGCATAAAATAACAAACTGTAAGGTCTGTATGTGATCAAAACAACAACATTTAAGCCTACAAATGTCGACTAACATACGTTATATACAGTGAAATGTTAAAAAACAAAGTTCATGATAGGTATCAAGAAAAACAAATGGAAAAAGAAATTAGATCTTTAACCTTTATACTGAACTGCAATCACATTTTCGCGTCCTTTCTGCTACTTTCACTTTTGGATTTTGCACTAAAAATGTATTTAAAATGAAGAAAAGCACTAATACTTTATATACAGATATATATAAAAAAGGCTGTGTAGTTTAAACAAATTCAGCTTCGTGCAGCCTTTCAGAACACGTCAGCGCCTGAAGCAGAAATCTCAGCCACCATCGCCATCAGGGCGGACAGGACGAGCGCCTCCACACAGAAAAACACTGACGAACAAAGAGTCAAAACTCACCTTCACTTGCGCTTCCATCTTATTATTCCATATCGAGCTTTTTCTGCTGAAGTAAATCCATCCAGAGGCGCCTTAAAACTCGGATAAGTTGGACAAAGGAGCAAACGGTTTGCTTTAAGGCCAGCGTATGGTTTCACTTTTACTTCAGTCTACCCTTTCACTTCACATGAAACCGCCAGCAGTAACTCCCCTTCACAGCTGCTGGGGTTTTTTTTTTCTACAGCTCATTTCCTCCTCAACACAAATAGAAGCTTCAATACAAACAAATATATTTGTCATGAGATTTTTTTTTCTTTTTTAAAATCTGCAATAAGATATTTATATTTATTTTCAAATTTAAACCCTCTGGTCAGACCTGAAATCCAGCTGACGTGCTGGAGGACCTTCCATGGGAACAGGTGATGCCTTTTTATATGACTTCCCCTCAAACCACAACAGTGCTTATTATAGCGCAACCCCGGATGCTGAGGTAAATGCATATTGCTGCTGCTTTCCTTGGAACTGAAACTGTTGCTGCAAGAAACCACATGTGGTGGTGTTTGGGCGTATTAGATCAAAAAGCACTGATGAAAGCATTTCTATTTAATTCATCTGTTTTTTCATATCTGCGATGTTCAGTTTGGTCCTAGTTGCACAATCTAAATGTGCTAAACTGAAGGCTTAATGTCAAAAAATTATATTTTTGTGGAGAACCTCTAGGGGAATTAATATGGAGTTACAAATGAGGTTTTCCTTTGTTAAAAAAACAAAACAAAAAACAATCAAGAAAGTAATAATAATTAGGTTTTTCCTTACCGTACTGTTAACATAGTGGTTTATTTTTGTCACTACTACTACTCACTTTCTCTACTACTTAAATTAAAATGTAACTGAGTCCAAAAACATGTTGAGGTTAATTGGTGATTGTAAATTGTCCGTAGGTGTGAATGTGAGTGTGCTTGGTTGTCTGTCTCTAAGAGTCCAGCCCCCCCCCAGCTCATCATCAAGCTCTGCAGAAGCCTGATAACGATCCTGATCATTTGAATCAGGTGTGTTGGAAGAGGGAAACATCTAAAACTTGCAGGATTGCGGCCCTTGAGTTCGACACCCCTGGCCTAAACTCTGAGAGAATCACTGGCTTACATTTTAAAATTTTCTCACTAATCTTTTAACTTCATTCCCAACATATGTCAGCCATCATGTGTGCTTGAGGAGAGAGTAAAAGAGCACAAGTAAAGGAATGACAAAAGAAAACTACAGATCATATTGCTCCCATGAAGCTATGAGTTTCACAGCTTTAGAATTAATGCAAAGTTTTAAAGAGTCCATATAAGAGTTGAGATGGGCTCTGAACACATTCACATTGGGTTTCTGTTTTGCAAATGTACTTCTATGTATATGGAACTTAGCAAGTAACATAAGAAAGTTAATACCATATCCTTTTTTTCAGGAATTTAAACATTGAACATTATGAATAGCATATGCTGAATATTCAGCGTAACAAGGATTTCCAATTTTCTGTTCAAGAAAAGATTAAGGCCACACCAAAAGGACTCACTGTAAGTACAATCCCCCAATAAAGGTGAGTCAGTGTTTCACTTTCAAGATGCCAAAGAGAACAAAGAGGGTCGATATCTGGAATGTATCTCACAATGACTGAATTAACAGGGTTAATGGTGATGTTCTGGCTTACCTTAGGCTGTCGTTCCGCCGTTTGTCCACTAGATGGAGCTCTGACTCCATTCAGTCCTCACCGCTGTCTTCCCAGTAGTTCAGGAGGAAGCTACAGCCAGGCAGCATCACAGGAGTGGGCCTAGCCATAGACTGTATAAAAGATCTGTTTGTAACCACTGGTTGAAAACTTTTTGAGTTTTTTCGATCAGGGGAGAGAAGTTTAACTTGCCTCTGGATTGTCTATCTTTTGTGATATGAACACCAAGACAAGTAACTGAATCTCTTACAGGAACCCTGGCTTCATTTTCTCAGTGCAGAAACCAACGGGTGACGTCACGGTAGCTACCTCCATCTTTTATACCGTCTATGGGCCTAGCAGAGCTACTGACAGATAAGTTCAGAACCACGTTGTGACATTAACAATGACTCAGCAGGGCGCCCGTATAGCTCACCTGGTTGAGCGGGCAACCCATGAACAGGGGCTACAGTCCCCAACGCAGCGGTTGTGAGTTCGAATCCCACTCATGACCCTTTGCTGCAGGTCTCTCCCCCACTCTTCTCCCCCTTTCCTGTCTCCTTCTCTACTGCTCTAATAAAGGCAAAAGCCCCAAAAAATACATTTAAAAAAAAAAATGACTCAGCAGGTCTCCTGGTTCACTTTAACTCTCTTTGTGTCATGAGGCTGACCTGTGCTTCGTTGCGTTGGTCATGCTCTTCATTTACGTTGCTAAAGTTGTGCTAACCTAGCTTAAGCTACGCCCTGTCTGTTTATGTTAGCGATAGCATCGCTGTAGTAATGCCAATCTAGCATAGTGTTAGCTAACAGCTTAAAGCCAGTAAGGACCTGCAGAAATAAGTGTACAAAATATTTGAGAGTACAGAGCAACCGTTAATCACTCCGTCAGCTTGTTATTATGTTAATTCAAATGCTAAAGCTATGTTCTGATTCTCCATGAATTTAATAGTGGCGATAAAACTATTGCAGGACTTTAACATTGGGTGTAAATGAGCTGCTTGGTGGAGGTCTGTGCTCTCCGAGTGCTTTTCTAGTCAGTGATGCATTAACATGCAAGCTGCCTTCAGACACTGTAGTCGACTGAGGCAAAGCTCGTTGTACTTATTTTATATACTGTCAAGTTGCTTAAGTTACTGTAGAACATTATTAAAGTAAATTTACTTAGTTACTTTCCATCACTCCTTCTGATGTGTCAAAGACATTTCTCTCACAGCTGTTTTACTTTTTTTTATGAATCTTTTTTCACTGATTTCACAGACGATGATGAGTCTGGTGGTGTTTGTTGCTGGGATGTTGGCAGCAGATGCTTTAGGTCATGTGTTGTGCTTGTGGAGAAATGATATCAGCAACAATGCTCAGAGTTTGGATACAGGCAGCTCTGTCTCCAGGCCTTGGTCTCCTTTTCTGAGGTCCTGTAACTATCTGTCACTAGATTCTAGTGGCTCTTTAGGATCTTGCAGGTGTTTGCATGTGCTGCCTCCTGACATCTGGACTCTGTGCACATGAAGCAGCTGCAGTGATGTCGTGGTTGAAGAGGTGGAGAGGACAACATCAGGACCATACCAAAGGTCTATGAGCACTGACACATAAAATCAGACTTCAAAGTAGCTTGCAACAGAGAGCATGTGATTAAATATGAAGTTTAAGTTTGGAAGAAGGTTCATGACAACAGTCAGTTTTACGACTTTTTTTCAGGCAGGTGCCCAGAATATGTATGTGACGGAACACTTCTGCTCTGTGGATTCCATGGTCGCCACGGTGCAGAAGAATGTATTCCTGGCATTTTTTGAACCACCCAGCCTATATATGCTTGAACATTCTGAAATTTCAAACCAAAACTTTTTCACCTGCTGTTGGACTTGGATTGCCCTGTTCAAAGATCACATTTGGATAGCAAAGACTTGAAGACTCAACATATTTTGGAAGACGAAGACCATTTGGGGAACGACGACCTGAAGTGAAAACCCTCGGAAAGTGAAGACTTGACGAGGATCCCTTTGGCGAGCGAAGACCCTTCAAGACCTGAAGAGGAGCCCCTCGAAAAGTGAAGACTTGACGAGGATCCCTTTGGCGAGCGAAGACCTTAAGAGGAGACCTTTGTAAACCAACTCTTGTTGGAAAACAAATCTCCTGGAGTCTTGACTTATTGTTGAATAACTCAAGACCTGAAAATGGACCCCCGAAGATCCGAGGACGTCGAGGGACCTCTGGGAGCTGCTGTGGCGAGGCACCGTGACGCTGCTGGTAAGACGACTTTCACTTTCAAAAACTCATGTAGCTTTTTATTGATGGACTCATTTTATGTATTCCTCTAAAATCTTTAAAACGATGTTGGTGTAGAAATGAGTGTGATTTTCTGAATAGCTGTTGTTTAAAACACAGATGTAATGATAAGGTCATGGTCAATTTCATTTCTATAGCACATTTAAAAACAACCAGGCTTGATAAAGCTGTTGATTTTTTTTTTTTCAGCGTAAAATGATTATTTGATGGATAAAATGTTATAAGGGGTTAATTTGATTTATTAATCATGCGTGTGGTGATTCATAAACAACGTTATTTTTCATTTGAGGGCATCAAATTTGACAAAATGTCCATAAAACTGACTGAAACTGAAAACAAAACAAGAACTGACTCGGCCAGAAATGCAAAAATGCCAGAAATGTGTTTTTGTGGTCAGGTGTGTCCTCTGTGTGGGTCTCTCTGGGTTCAGTTTGATGTCTGATCGTCATCCTTCACGTTTAAACTCAACTTATTTTCACATGTTGCTGAACCTGAACCATATGTGTGGCTGTTTATGGACCTTAAATGTGAACTGTTGTTATTCATCGCAAAAATTATTTCATTATCTCAGGACTCCTGGTGAGCTGTAGTAGCTTAGAGGCTGGTTGGAAACTGTCGCTTTGAGAGTCCAGACGTGACAAATAGTGATTGTTTTGGTTTCTACAGTTAATGAGACTAATTATCTGACGTCACACACTGGTGCAGGTGGAGTTAGCGTGCTGCTTATCTGAGCGAGAACACTTTAAAATAGTAAAACTACACTGCTGTGTTTGTGTGTCTTGTGTTGTGCTGCAGTGTTTTGTGGTGCACTACACTGTGGTGGATTGTGTTATGCTGTGTTGTACTGTGCTGAGTTGTATTACGTTGTGTTGGGCTGTATTGCATTGTATTGGTTCAACTGTGCACCATTGTGTTGTGCTAGGTTGTGTTATATTGCGCTGTTTGTGTTGTGTTGCACTGCATTGTAGTGGGTTGTGTTGTGATGCATTGTAGTGGGTTGTGCTGTATTGTGCTGTGTTGTGTTGTGTGCTACCGTGTGGTGCTGTATTGTGGTGTGTTGTGTGTGTGTTGCATTTTATTGCGTTCATTTGTGTATCCTTGTGTTGTGCTATGTCTTTTATGTTGCCCCATGTTGTGCTGTTTTGTGCTGTACTGTATTGTGTTTTGCTGCGTTGTGCTACATTGTGTTGGCTTGTGTTGTATTGCGTTTTTTTGTGTTGCACTGCATTGTAGTGGGTTTTCTTGAACTGTGTTGTACTGCGTTGTATTGTGCAGTGTTGTGTTGTA